ACAAAGAAAGACATGCCCCACTCAGACCACCACTGCCAACATCCTGATGTGTCCCTCTGCAGGAAAACATATGCTTATATAGAGAAATGTACAACACTAATATTCTCATGTATGCATGTGTATGTTTTTCTTTTTACAAGAAAAACAAATTTGAGGCTTAAAATTTCATTTAATTTCACATAAAACTTACTTTGTTGCCCAGCTGGTGTGGCTTGGTGGTTGAGCATCAACCTATGAACCAGGAGGTCATGGTTCAATTCCCAATCTGGGCACATGTCCTTGGTGGCAGGCTCAATCCCCACTAGATGGCATGTAGGAAGCAGCTGATTGATGATTCTCATCATTGATGTTTCTCTCTCTCTCCCTTTCTCTCTGAAATAAATAAAAGTATATCTTTTAAAAAACAAACCCATTTTGCCCGGGGGAGCAGCCGGGTCAGGTGTGGCCAGGCCCGGAGCAGCGGCTGCCAGGCTGGGAGCGGCCAGGCCCAGAGCAGCAGCAGCCAAGTCCAGAGCAACTAGGTCGGGAGTGGCAGTGACCAGACCCGGAGCAGCTGGTTGTGGAATGAACCAGAGCAACAGAGGCCAGGCCCTGAGCAGCCAGGCCCAGAACAGCTCGCTCCTTGCCTGCCCCTGCCCCATGGCTGCTTCTCAGACATGGCTGGAAACTTTCGTGGGAACATGAGGGTCTGCTGAATCAAGTGATGAAGGCTTAGATCTGGATGTGTTGAGTTAGTATAGGGCTGGGGTGTTGATCTGTGAGTGCCTTGGGTGGGGCCTGGATGAGGCTGGTGGACCTATTGGGAAATGTCTTTTGTGTGAAGTGTATCATTGGGCATGTGGAGGTATTATTGATATGAGAAAATGCTAAGTAACTGATTTACTATCTGAAAAGGGATTTACTATCGGGGAAAGGGAGGGAAGAAGAGACTGAACATAAACTGTGCACCTATGGATGAGGACAATGGGGGATGGGGAGGGGACGGAGGGTGGGGTGGGAACCTGGTGGAGGGGGGAAGAAATGAGGAACCTTTGTAATAATATGAACAATAAAGATTGATTTAAAAAAAAACATTTTATCACAATTCTATCACTTGATTAATAACATTCTAGAGTTTTTTGTGTGAGAGATCAAGTTCATATCATACATGCTTCATCTAAACACCACCTGCTTTCTTTTTTGAATTTGGACTCACTCTGTATATACTTGTTTATAACTTGCTTTTTTAAAAAGGTTTTCCCCACTTTCAAAAATTAGGGCATACTTTACATATTAGTGTACAGTTGTGTGAGTTTTGACAAACGTGTATAGTCCTGTAACTACCACCGCAAACAAGATATAGAATTTTGCCTGTGATTAGATAGTTATCAAAACATGACTGAGAATGTCATCACACTTTCTGTCATTTGGAAAGAAAATGATTTAACCAATCTCTTTTTGTTGGCCATTTAGCTTGTTTACAGCTTTCTCTTACCGAATTTGCAATCTGGGGGAATGGAATGAATAAATGAATGAATGAATGGAAGAAAATGAGTGAAAGCTGGCATCTCACTTTACTGGAGCTATACCAAATGGGCTTCTCCCTTCTCTGCTTGGAAAACTGCTCATCCTTTGGGACCCAGCTCAGATCTCCTCTGTGAAGCCCCCATGATGCCAACTGGAGAGTTGGATCCTCCTTCTGTGGTCCCTCTTACCAGTCACACGTTGATTATAAAACAGACATTGCAATACTCTGTTTTTCTTCGCTCCTCCAGGCTGTAAACTGAGGGGAAGTGATGTCTTAGCTCTGATTTCCCCAAACCTAGGCCACACCTGACAAATAGGGCTCTAAAAAAATTCATAAAATGAACATTCCATCCCATTGAACTAAACTTGGTTATCTTCCCAATTTCTCCCCCTCCCCCCCCCTTGCCACTAGGGGAGAACGGTTTGCAGTCCTGCCCCCACTACCACAAGTTATGCAGTCAAGCTTCCTACATTTGGGGAAATCACAGGGGTCAGCACATCTGGAGTGCAATGGACAAGCCTCGCTGTGGGAAAACCACCTTTCTGATTATGCTCTCTCTCCTGCCAGGTATTTATTTTTTCCTGATTTCTTAGGAGACAGGTACTTTATGAGCATGGTGCAAATTTGGGCTGGATGAATTAAGCTGGTACGTGTAAGGAGAGCTGGGGACTTTCCTCTGTTCCAGATCCTGGGTTAGGTGTGCAAATTCATGTTTATATGCAGTCACTCAGTAAATATTTATTGAATGAATGAATACATGAAGGAAAAAGAGGTGTGAGTCCTGGACTCTGGGAGTTAAGAAAGCCAATCTGAGGTAGCAATCTGAGGGAGTCAAGGAATCAGCCTGGGTAGGGTTCACTGCCTTCCCACCCTATATTACCTTTATTTAGACTTGGGTAATTCAGGAACTCCTAGCTGCCTCATCAGAAATAGCCAGACAGTGGCCAGTGGCGCCTGGCAACAAGCCCTGACATTCTGGTTTGTGAAAAGTTTGTGCTCCAGGAGTCAAACCCTGAGGGGGAGCATCTGCTTTCATGTATTAAAGGTGTACTTATCAATACCTGCTTCCCAGGATCTAGCACAGGACTTGGCACAGAGCTGGTGTTTAAAAAGGTTTGAGTGAGGCTGAAATAGGAACATGAATAAGGATAAAAATGATCATCATTTGCAGAGTGCCTCCCAGCCAGGTTCTCATCGGGGTGCTCTTTGCAGATGTTCTGCTTATTAGGAAAGCCCTGGGGTAGTTCTGGATCCTCTTCCAATCCTAGAGATAAGCCTCTGAATCCCAGACAGGTTCTCCTGAGTCAGACTGGGGCGCGCACTGCGAGAAGCGCACACCGCCCCAAGAATCTGCGGGAGCCCAACCAGGTGCGCCTGGCTCCAAAGCCTGCATTCGCCACACAGCGCCTGGATCCACCACTCGACTTCCAACGCTGCCCATCTCTGCCTCTCCGACCACAGCAGGTAAAGCCAGGTCAAGGGGTCTTGCGTGGAACCCGCGTCCTTCGGGGTCCGGTAAGGATGGGTTCCGCGCAGGCTCCGGAAGCGACGCAGCCGGCTCGGACCTGCCAGCAGGTGACTTCCGCCCGCGCGCGCTCTCTCTCTCCAGCCAGGTGTGGAGACGTGACGTCGGGGAGTGTCTGGCCTGACGCAGAGTAGACGCTCGGTAATGGCTTCGGAGTCCTTACCGATTCTCATGAAATGATTTGGGGGCAGCCGGGAGGTGCCAGACGCTGTCAAGACCCGAGCCCCGAGCCACGACTCCGGGAAGGCGACCCCGACCTGGGCGGGGCCAGTGGGGGCGGGGCTCCGGCAGCGCCCGTCCAATCGGCGCCCGGGAGGCGCAGACCGCCCCACCTGAGGAGGCGGCGCTTGCGCTCTCGGCCGCCACGGCTCTCGCTCAACGCCCCTCCCCGGGGCGGGGCGGACCGGTCCGGCGGCGCTCGGCGCTGACGCTACGCCGACGCGCCCGACGTCGGGCACGTTGACGCCGGCGACGCGCAGCCGGGCCCGCTCCTCCCGTGCTCCGCCAGTGTCCGGCCGCGGGCCGGCCTTAGTGACTGGGGGCGGCGGGCCCGGGGCGGCGGGCGCGGGGCGCGCGCGCGGGCGCGGGCTGCCTTCGTCGGGCCCCGAGCTCGCCCGGAGCGAGCGGCCGCCCGGGAACCGCCGCGGAGCCTCCTCGCCTGCTCCCGCCGGCGAGCAAGGTAAGGGAGCGGGAGACTGAGGCAGGCTCGGGCGGAGCGGCGTCCCGGGAGCCAGCGCCTCCCCGGGGACGGCCCCGCCACCGATTAACGTCAGCCCCGCGGGTCGGACGCGCTCCGGGGGGCGCGGGGCGGGAACTGGGGGCGGGGCCCGCGGCGCGGGGTCGGTGGGAGAGCCCTGCGGGCGCCGCTGGCACCCCGGCGGGACCCCGGGAGGAGGCGTTCCCCGCCCGCGCCCCGAAGGACGAGCTCTGGGCACGGCGCGCCGCCCCCTCCCCTGCCCCCGGCGCCCCGGTGATCCCAGCCCCGAGTGCGAAAGGCAAACACCTGTGGCCTCGAGAAACCCCGATTCGGGCTGAGCTCCCCGTTGTAAACGGTTCTCGGTACCCCGGGCCCCGGGGATCCGCAGCACCTGGTGCGAGTGTGAGCGTGGAGAGGTCGTGAGGACCGTCCGGTGCGCGGTCTAGGGCATCTCCCTCCCGGGGGTCTGCGGAGCCGGGAATACCGCCCGCAGCTTTGGGCACCGGCCCTCCTTTCCCTGGGCCCCTCGTTATATTTGAGACACTTAATAGCCTCTCATAATCTCACCTTTCACTTTTCTTTCCTAGCCATCACGGCTGTATTGACCTGCTATATTTCCATTGTGGAATTTTTTATTTTATTTATTTATTTATTTATTTTGGTCTGGTAACTTACGTAAGTTAGATTGTCGGACCACAACCATTGCAGCCATTGAAAGGCCCGGATTCCTCCCAGCCCCTAAGGAATCCGGGCCTTTTAGCGCTCCCCAAATCCAGCCCAAGAATTCAGGGAGCAGTCCGTCCTTTCCCAGGAGCTGACTGCACACATTCCTGTAAGATGCCTGGTGGATTTGTACTTGTCCGTTTTACTAGCTGTGTGTGCTCCTGGGCTTTTCCTGAAGACTGATTGGGTGGTGTGTGTTTCGACTTTCTTTCCCCCTACCGGGAAATAGGAAAGGAAAAAAAAAAAAAAAATAGGTTACAGAAGCACACGTGTTTTCAACATCTAGAAAAGACAGCTTTGCAAACAAAATACCAAGAATCTGCTCTTTATGTCCTTTATGGATCCTTGTCTGTTAATGTATTCCTCATCTTGTGGTTTGCATGCATGTGCTTTCCCAGCTTGTCATGCTCAGAGCTTAACAATCAGATCCGAGAATAAGGCTGTCGGCCTTTCATTTATTAACGACAGGTAGTTATAAAGTCGCGGCTCTGTCAGAGGCCTTACTTTGCACTGACTGACTGTATGTATTCTGGGTCTTTTCTTTCAAGATGATGTGCGAGGTGATGCCAACCATCAGTGAAGCAGAAGGCCCCCCGGGAGGAAGTGGGAGCCATGGGTCTGGTTCGCCTTCGCAGCCAGATGCAGATTCGCATTTTGAACAGTTGATGGTGTCCATGCTGGAGGAGAAGGACCGCCTTCTGGAGACGCTGAGAGAGACTCAGGAGACACTGGCTCTAACCCAGGGGAAATTGCACGAGGTTGGCCATGAAAGAGATTCCTTGCAGAGGCAGCTCAACACCGCACTTCCGCAGGTACGGATGCTCTCCCCTCCCCGCAGCTTTACAGATCGGTGTCTCCTAAGCGGTGTCACCTCTGTGAGGTCATCCTGATGGTGTCGGTATTTTTAGATGCGTACTAAGCCTAACCATTTGTGAGCTGATGGGGTTCTGGTGTTTGTAAGAGCTAGAGAGCAAGGTCCTGAGGATTAAACTTCTCCGGGAAAAAGGTTCTGCCCCTCTGCAGTCCTGTGAAAACACCTCGTTCCTCTCGTTCCTTTCTTCGGGGCGGCAGGAGGAACTGGATTTGGGGTGGTGCTCCCAAAGTGTTTGGAAAAGGACCTTGGGACAATCAAGCTACGTGGTGCCTTTTGATCGCTCGCCTTCAGTCATTTCTTGTTAAATGGGTATTTCCCGTGGAGTGTAGCAAAATGAGTGGACAAATAGGTCTGGTTTCGCAGGAAAATGCTTGTCCAGTCCACGTTTATCAGGACACTTGCCTGTTGTAGATGAAACTTGTTCTAGGAAATAGAAGACTGGACTTGATTCCTTTGGAACCTTCTCCTTGGCACATGAGAATTCCAAAGCTACAGTTGTTCATTTAAGTATGTTGCGTTTGGACCAGCGTTTCAAACCCGTTTATTACGGAGCTGAATGAGGGTTTAATGATAGGTGAAGGGAGAAAATGGCAACGGGAATGTAAGGTAAAAGGCACAGCGTGGTGGGAGAGAGGAAAGTGACTGGGGTGTGTGTGAGCTGTCTAGGAGCCGTTTTACTTATTCATAAGAGCTGCCTTGATGGTGCTTTCAGGCAGCCCTGAATAGGCACACACTGATGCTCGTGGTGGGTCTGCAGCGCTGAATTAGTGAATGAATAATTACTGGCCTTAATGCGTTTCTTGGCTTTAGTCAGCTGTCCTGAAAGATTGATAAGGCTAACATTTGGATTTCTTTTTTAGCAGCAATAATTTAATGTTAGTGCTGTAATATTTCCTTTTTGGCTTAGAGAATCATTAAGTTTTTTCTCATTCCAGTCCTCTAAATTACCAATTTTATTTAGGTCAGATTTTATTACCCGAAGCTTAAAAGGATTGGTCGTGTTATCTCTTGCCAGATTTTAGCGTATTTGTAAATGTTTTCAGCTGTGTTGTTTTGTGTGTGTGATTGTTTTAATGTAATTTGAGGTGTATGTCAAATACTTACATATTTGGTGAGCTAGTTTTTTTAAAGGAGCACAAGGACACAACAGGGAAGGGACCGGAGTTTGTGCAGTACAGGGGATTGTCGCACCAGTGTGGTGAGACCGTTGCTCAATGATTTGTTTCTAGCTGCTACTCAGTGTGGTAGCCTGGAAATGCCTCATAAGGTAGAGATGGTGTCGCACAGTCACCTCAGCACCTAAGCGCCTGGGGCCAGCATTTCAGAAACACAGGAACCATCATGTAAATGTGCTTTGGATGCTTTTCTTGGCATTTATCTCCTGTTTGGTGGTTAACAATGTAGCCAGATCTGAGGCATATGAATCAGATAAGTACATTTGTTCTCCTGGCACATTATGTAGGCAAGTATATACTTCAAAATCTGAATATGACATACACCAGGAAAACTCACATGTCCTAAGTGTACATCTCTGAATTCTTCACAAAGTGAACACACTCTTGTAACCACCACTAGATCAAGAAACAGAACATTACCACGTTCCCAGAAGCCCCTCCTACCTGCTCCCAGAAATTGTCCCCCAAAGCTAACTATACCCCCATTTTTTGGAAGGATTTTTCATTTTATTTTGTTCCAGTGGTTTCAATTTTTTTTTAAACCATAAGAACTCTTTCTTCAAGAAAACTTGTATTCAGAATCCCAATATATAAAACAAATATCAGTAGAAAATGACGGTCTTGACTTTTTCCTTTTTAAAAATATTTTTATTGATTTCAGAGAGGAAGAGGGAAAGAGAAATAGAAACATCAATGATCTGAGAGAGTCATTGATCTGCTGCCTCCTGCACAATCCACATGGGATGGAGCCTGCAACCAGGGCATAGAGCCTCACCAGGAATCAAATCGTTACCTCCTGGTCATAGGTTGATGTTCAACCATTGAGCCACACCAGCCTGCCCGCTTTTGACTTTTGGTGATGATTGCTTTGGCATGTTCTTGACTTTATATAAATGCAGTAAAGTATTGATAATAGGTATATTTTGTTACTTGATTCTTTCATTCAACATTGTATGTGAGATCCATCCACGTTGTCTTACGTAGCTTTGTTTATTCTCATCTGCTGTCTAGTAACCCAATATATGAATGAATATACCATTAGAGAGGGAGGAAGGGAGAGAGAAACATTGATGTGAGAGAGATACATCGATTGTTAGGCATGATCTTCCAGTGCATGGGATCCAGCTTTAACCAACTGAGCCACACCAGCCAGAGCTATCATAACTTACTCTTTCTACTGTTTGTGGGTATCTGGGTTGTTTCTAGTTTTTGTAAATGCTGCCTTGGATATCCTTGCTTGTTTTTGGGTGCAGATCTGTATACATTCCTATCAGGTATGTTCAGAGGAGTGACAAGCAGTGGTATGCATTTGATCAGCCTCAGCACACACTGCCCTGAGTGGTGTTGGTACCAGTTTGTACCACCTGCAGTGTGTGAGCAATCAGTGGTTCTCTAGTGCGTGGTCTCATCAGTTCTTTTATTCTCGCTGTCTGGAGGGTGTTGAGTGCATTTTTGTATGGCCGATTTTCTTGTGTTTGCCTCTTCACTCTCTCAGTGGTGTCTTTTGATAAGTTTTCATTTTAATGTAGCCCAATTGATGCTCTTGGTAAATTGCACGATAACATGAAGTTCATGAAGGTGTTTTCCTGTGAAAGCTTTCTTTTATCTGTCACATTTAGATCTGTAATCCATCTTAAATTGATTTTTGTTTATGGTGTGAGATAGGGGCCAAGATCCTTCCCCACGTGAAATATATGGATATCCAAATGACACCACATAGTTTATTAAAAACCTAGTGCACTGCAGTGTCGTCTCTGTCATAAATCCAGTCACTGTAAATGTGTGGGGTTTTTTCTGGACTCCCCTGTGCCCTTGATCTTTGGTTGTTTTTGCACAAATGCCACACTGTCTAACTTACTGTAGATTTAGTCAGTCTTGATAGCTGGTAATTTAAGTCCTTCAGCTTTGCCCTGATTCATGTTTACCTAGCTAATTTTGACCCTTTGTGTTTTCAGATAAATTTTAGGGTCTATTTGGCAGTCTCTCCCCAAAAAATGTGCTGGGATTTTAACTGAGATTGCATTAAATCTGTAGACCAACGTGGGGAGTACTGACATCTTTTTAATATTGGTCTTATAATCCATCAACACAATATCGCCTACTACTTATTTAGATCTTCTTTAACATGTCTTAGTATTTTACGGTTTTCTGTGTATATGTAATACATGTTTATAATTTATTCATAGGTATTTGATATTTTTTATGCCATTAAATTATATCTTTACGAATTAAATTATGCAGTTGTGTATTACTGGTATATAGAGATAGAACTTTTTGGATATTCACTTGCTAAATATATTTCTAATAAAAATTCTTGTATTTTATAGGCATACATATTGTGTCTGCAAACAACACTTTCTTTTTTTTTTCTTTCCCAGTGCTATACCCATTTTTCTTTTTCTTGCCTTATTGTGCTGGCTAAGATCTCCAGTACAGTGTCAAGTAGAAGTGATGAGAATAGGTTTCCTTATGTCGCTTACCAATATCAGAGGGAAAGCATTTTGTATTTTACCATTACAAGTGATATTTGATGTAGCTTCTTTTTATATATTTTTTATCCAAATTTGAAAATTCTCTATTTTTAATTTGCTAATAAGCATTTTAAAAATAATGAATTAAGTTATTATGTTAACATTTTTTACTTTAAAATTTTTCAGTTACAGTTGACATTCAATATTATTAATTTTAGGGATATAGTATGGTGGTTAGATACTTACATAATTTACAGAGTGATATTCCCCCATAAGTCTAGTACCTATTTGGTACTATTCATAGTTCCCACAACATTATTGACGGTATTCCCTATGCTATACTTTATGACTATTTTTGTAACTGGCAATTCATACATATTAATCCCTTCTCCCCTTTTCACCCAGCCTCCACTCTCTGCCTTCCCTGCTCATCTGGTGACCATCAGTTTGTATCAAGTGATTTTTCTTTTATGTGGTGGTTTAACTTAAAACATTTTTTTTTGAAATTCTGTAATAATCCCAACCTGACCTCAGTGTATTCTTCTTTCACTGTTTTTGTTGTTGTTAATATATTTTAGAATTATTTCATTGGCATTCATGAGAAATTGGTCTGTAATTTTACTTTTTTGAATTGCCTTTATTGAAAGTACTATATGTATTTGACAGTTTCCAACTTGGCAATAAATGATGGTGATTTAGTTATAATTAAATAGAAATGAGTATATGAAAGACTAACGAAGTTCAAAGAAGTATTATGTTTCAATACATGTATATTATCTTCTTGCCCAATAAAATTTTATGCCTCTATTATAATTAACTAGGAATGAACTTATTTCAGTTTTTTAAAAACAATTTCTAGTCTCAAAATTTTTATTTTGTTACATCGTCATTGAAAACCTAATTGGGAGCCAAGAAACTTATCTTGTAAAGAGTCAAGCAAAAACAGTGTAGCTGTGCAAGTAAATTATAATTGAAACTATGGGATCATGATGGATCTGTAGCATCCAACACTTCTCTGCACTGAGTGTCTCTGATGCTAAATACCTGTACGTATTTTCGAGCCCTGGGTTTACAGTCCATTATTTTTGTTGGGTTTAATCAGAGTTATGCTGGTTGCAGAAAGCCCCAGGAGAGTTCCTGTGAGATTGGTGTTCTTTTTCTTTAGATTTTTGGGAGAAGCTGGTATAGGGTTTGTTTTTGTGTGTGAGAAGGCATTAATTTCAGATTCATTTTTTTACGCAGAAGTAGGAATTTTCTTATTTTCTGTTTCTTGTGTCTATCTAGGAATTCAT